TGATGCAGCTAAGCGGTTAAAGCTCTTAAATTGCCTTTTTAGAAGGGCTCTTCAGACTTAAATTCAATAAAACCATTGGCTGGCTCTCTTACTTAGTCACCAAGTCAGTGTTAAACCCCTAGGACTTCAACAGCACTGCAATTACACACATCATCTCTCCACTCAAGTCCTTTGCAGTTGAGACTTACAATAATGACATGATTATACAAGCATTTAATACAAAGATGTTTTTCTTACTTTTATGAGTTTTCCATTTTTTTTTAAATAGTGGTAATGAGTAAAACATAAAATTATATTTAAAAATTATGTATTAATTTAAATATATACATTTATTAATTAACTTTTCCATTTTAATACTTTTATGTTTAATATTTTTTACTGTTTAAAAAAAACAAAAAACAGGTTCCATTGTGACAGCATTAAGGTAGGCTATGTAAACCTTCTCTGCAAAATAAAAAGTGTGAGAGTGAAAAGTGACAACTAACCGTGGTCTCCCCAATGTGGAAAGGAATACAATACAAAAATAAACAATATAATTAATAAAAACACTTGTACTCATTGTACTCAAAGTGTTAAATATGATTAAGTGTTTTATGTAAGATTAAAATGAAATCAATTCATTTAATTTATTATTATATTTATATTAATAACATAATAAACATTATAATTAACATAAAATGTTAATATTTACTATTTTAATATTAGTTCAATAAATTATTTAATTTTGGAGATTATTTATTTGTTTACTGTCTGACTGAATGATTTACTAAGAAGCTCAGGCTCCCCAATGTGGAAATGCAAAAATAATGCAAAAATGATTATGCAAAAATAAATGCAAATGCAAAAATAAACCATATATATAATAAACACTTGTACTAATTGTTAAATATGATTAAGTGTTTAATGTAAATTTTAAATAAATACATGAAATAAATAAATTTATTTATTATTATATTTTATATTAATAACATTTTAATTAATAAACAATTGTTTTTTTTTTTACTATTATAATATTATTTCAATAAATTATTTATATTTGTTTGGAAATATTTGTTTGTTTGTTTTTTACTAAGAAGCTGTGTCTTCAATGTGAAAAATGAATACAAAAATAAACCAGTATACAAATAAAAACATAATTAATATAATTAACCCCTTAACTGTCATCCCCCATTTTTTAAAATAGGCATGAAAGTGCACTATCCAAACTTAAATTGTTGTAATTTATGAACACTTTGGAATACAGACCTAAGGTTGGTCTCTTTTTAAAGAAGACTATTAGCAGATTATGAAAATTTCCAAAAGTGGAATTTTTCCAAAAACTTAAGGTATCAAAAAGTTATAGAAGTTTAAATTTATTGTAAAGAAAATACAATGTACTGATTTTATTATATTTTGTATATAATAAATATTTGACATAACAGGTTGTACTCTAAAATTGCTATAAAATTTAAGCCTTCCGTCTAAATAAGCTATGTTCCAAATTTGAAGTTGATCTGAAAAAAATTGAGGTTCTTGTGAGATTTTATTTAGGGCATTATACCACAAACAGCCACCGGGTGCCATCCAAACTCCATTGAATTTTTTTTAATGCATTTTTCTGTAACATATGTTGACATTTCTCTGCCATATTGCTTCTATCACAAAATAACCACCAAATATGGAATCCTGAGACTCAGACCTTTCCACTGATATGTTTTTTTGTCAAGATTATAACAAGTTTTGATTGTAAAAGACCGTAATGCATTTTGTAATATGACACTTGACACCGCCCGCTAAGGGGGAGGTGACCGCCAAAACATTTTAAAGTACCATTTCCATGGTAACGCAATGTTCGATTTCAAAATGGTTTTCACAGGATGAATCTTGGGCTTCTTAGCTTTCAAACGACATATCATTTATGATGATTACTAAGACATTTGATAGAGAAAAAGGACAACAACAAAAAAGAGCGCCAAGCGTGACAGTTAAGGGGTTAATAAAGAATTGAATAATATATAATGTACTCATCATTAAATATGATTAAAAGTAACCGTATAGCAAATGTAATAATTTAAGTAATATAAAAAAAATACATCTTAAAATTGTATGAAATATTGTAATAAATTATAAATATTCAAATTAAATAATATGAATAATACCCAATCTGTTTACACATATACAATTATTTTGTAAATAACTACTAAATATTATTAATAATTAATTTAGAATAAAACAGCAATAAAGCGATGATTATTAAGATATTTTCATTACATGCCCTAAGGTGTCACACCCTCAGATGTTGGTCTAGAGTGCATGAGAGTATGATGATTGCGGTTGCACTTGATAATTGTCACTAGCTGTTTGGAGAGCTCCGAGCTGCCGGCGCTGAGACCGAGAGCGCCAGGCTTTATCCTCAGGACTTCTCACTCACCGTCTCCATGAGTCAAGACTCAGACACTTCCACACAGCCAGAAAAGACACAGAGCAGTGGTTTTCACATCCTGAACAAAGAAGTTCTCCTCCTCTCTCAAGTGCTGCGAAGTTATTTTAATGTCATGCCTGGAGGATGTGTGTTCAATTCTGGATTAATGTGGTGGAACAGGCTTCTGCTGGTGGGATGTGGAGTCCTCCACACTGGCTGGCAGATTAAATATTGAGGGGATTAGAAGAAAAAGCTGACTTCTAAGCATTTAGGCTTGATTATGCAGAATGTTTCTTGTGCACTGAATGTCTTCACCATGCAGGGCATTAGAGAGTAAAGACTATAGTCACCCAGCAGAAAATTGTAGATTGTTGAAATACTCCTAATGTTCTCGTTATATGATGGAAAAGCTGTTAAATGTGTTTTGCACTTGTTATGATGTTATTATGAAGCTTAGACACCTGATGCTTGACAGCGGCCCCATGTGCTTAAGAGGAGTTAAATATGATGTGTTTCTCTGGAGATTTCAGTTTATTCCACACAAGCTGCTCCAGAAACTTCATCATGTGGATCTCTTTACTGTCTTGTTATGAGATTCAATTACTCTGCATTCTCAGGAAGCAGAGTAATTTGGACCTGAATTTTTTTTTTAAGATTTCACAGCAAAATGATACTATACTTATACTTGTTTAAAAATCCCCATATCGATCGGATAACAGATGGCTTGTAGAAGTTTGTGTACAACAGGTTTTTTTCAGCAAACTTTTGATCATGTTGATAATTTAGAGGCCTTAGAAATGTATGCATTAAAATTAACTGCTAATTTTTAAACACATTTTAAACCTGGTATTTTAATGCATTAGATTGTAATGGTGATGAACGGGGACATGAAAATGAGGCTATACGCTTTTTAAATATTGCTTTATATTGAAATAAAAAAAAAGACTTATACAGTCCAGCGAGTATGTGTTTGTGGCTGACTCAGACATTATAGGCTATATGTCGAAATGTGCACTTTGCATGACTTTTTTCTCAGAATGTCTCTGTTTGTCACAATTCTGTGTTTGTATCTTAGACACAAAGTCAGAACTGAGATATAGACTCAGAATTGTGAGATAAAAAGTTATCACAAATAACTTTTTTATATATACTTTTTTTTTCCATATAGGCGAAATAAGCTTCTATATATACAGGTCTTGTAATGTGTTTTTAACCCTTGTTGTGTTGTGTTCTGGTCACTTTGACCCGAAAATGCTCTAGTTAATGTTCTTGCATTGGACTAAAAAATTCAAAAAAAATTTTTTTTACTTTTTAAAAAAAAAATATTTCCCCCACCTTGTTACACTTGTGGTGTTCTCAGTCTACAAAAATTAATTATAAGTTTCTCGTTATGCTATATTATTACCAAATCATGTTTTCTTTCAGTTAGCACAGGTTTTGTATTTCTTGATCAATCTAAGCTTATTCACCAAGCTACATTAAAGTGATTATTACGTTATTAGCACAGGTTTTGTATTTCTTTCTCGACTGATCAATCTAAGCTTATTCACCAAGCTACATTAAAGTGATTATTACGTTTTGAATATGGATATTTTTCTTACAAAAATGCATTGATTCGCTACAGGAGGGCTTTGTTCACACCCGGAGCCATGTGAGGCACTTTTTTTTATGGATGGGCGCTTTTTATTTCACTTCTTTGGGACTGAAGCACTGCAACACCCGCTGACTGCAATGATAGAGCTTGGAATAGTCAGGACAATTTTTTATATAACTCCGACTGGATTCTTCTGAAAGAAGAAAGTCATATACACCTAGGATGCCTCTGGGGTGAGTAAAACACAGCCTAATTTTAATTTTTGGGTGGACTAACCCTTTAATTCAGATTAAGGCCTATGATCAAACAATTCCAAAAAAAAACAAAACCTTTGTTAACTGAAAGAAAACAAGTTGACAAAAAGATTGAATCCAAGATTTGGTAATCATATAGCATAATGAGTGATTTTTCAGTCATTTATGACTGGGAACACCAAATTAGGTAATTAGGACATTTTCAACTAATTTCAGCACAGCACAAGGGTTAAAAGTTTTAAACTTCTTTTAAAATGTGAGCCTGGCGTTTTTACAGTGCCTCATGCGCCAGACGCTGCAGGGTCGAGACAAAGAGATCCGTCTAGCGTGTTTACATAGAAAAACAATGGAAAAGACGAGTTCTGTGTGAACGACCGCTGACTGTGTTATTGCTCATGTTTAGAAGCAGCGCTGTCAGATTCACACTTTGTTTGATCCCTTCTCTTTCGTGCTCTGATATACAGCTGGGAAAGTGTATTTAGATAAACCACACCAGTAGTGATTTCACGGAGGTGATTGCTTGATTACAGGTGAATCTCAATAAATTAGAATGTCGTGGAAAAGTTCATTTATTTCAGTAATTCAACTCAAATTGTGAAATTCGTGTATTAAATAAATTCAATGCACACAGACTGAAGTAGTTTAAGTCTTTGGTTCTTTTAATTGTGACAACCTCTGCACGGTAAGTGATTCGTGACTTCAGTAATACATACTTAACTTGTACATACGTAACACACTTGACACAGTTTATATGAGCACGTTATTTAATGGAATAAAAGAACATCGAGAGAAACAGGGTCACATTACATTTATTACATTTGGAAATACATGCACCATAAACATGCTCAGTTAATTATGTGTAAAGAGTATGTATAAAACTACCAAATAATCCCCATATCGTCAATGGCATATTTGGGGTTAATTTGTGTATCTTTTGTCCCACTACAGGAAAAGCGCATCTGAGCTTTATCCTGCCATACAATTTCCTATAATGTTTGTCCAATACACAGTATAGTACATTGCATACAAAAGCACATAACCAGTCTATGATGCTCTAAACCTGTCATGACATGGCTTTAATAGTTCTGAATTAATCAAACATAAAAATGAGTGTTTTAAAAAATATATAAATAAATAAAATTACTGTTTGATTGAATCTGTTTCTATGAGAAAACAGAAGTGGCCGGGGCATTTTACTCATACTAAAACAAAATAAACAATAAATCAGTTTTACAAAGATTTTATTAAACAAAATGGACATTAAGCAGATTAAAAAAAAACTATGAATAAAAACTCAGAAAGAGGAGTGCGATCGCTTGGCTTTATCATTTGATGTTTTCATTAGCATGACAAATAAAAAAGGAAAAGTGACTTTGCCCCTTCACAGCACTACTGAACCCAGCAGAATAAATTTACAAACATGTCAAACTCTACTGCAAACCGCCACTCGCTCTGAACCGAATGAGGAAAACGAGGTAATATAACTTTCACAGTGACAAAAGAATACACAATCTAGATAAACCACTACAGAACAGAATATTATTGTCCATAAAGGGTGATTTTTAAATTCATCTCATGATACATATTACAGTATCTAACTCGTGTTAATATTTAGAAAGATTTTGTTAAGCATGGCTGTCATAAAACTATACAAAACTGTCTTAAAAATGGCTCAACTCTGTTGTCATGAAACTATATTAACAGTATCGGATTGGTTGGATATCCAGACACGAGTTTGCCAAATCTCTCCAAAACTAAATTTCTTTTAAAAACAAATTTTCTCCAATAATATAAACAAAACAAAGCACACATACAATCCAAAGATCTTAAAAATCTACAGGCAAAAAAAAAGTGATCTGAACTATTGTTGAGCTCAGGTGACTTACACGATAATTCAGAAGATGGATCGGTTTATAAAGGCCATGTTTGTTTAAGTATACTGAATGCTACTCGCTACTCTACATCAATGGCAGTCTTCCTGAATGTTAGAAATCATGGCAGGATCTGTAAGGTAAAGTCGCCTCTTTTTAGTTAGAAACATGACTTAACATGAATGAAGAAGTAATGCTTGGATGGATAAAAAGATTTGATCGTAATCTAAAGCTGACTCACCATTGAGTGTTAAAGTGTCTGTGTAGTGTTGAGATGAAAATAAAGTGTATAAAATAGTAAAGAATAAAGTGTGATAGGTTGAGTTTTTGTATGCTGACACTACAAAAATATATAACAAAACAAAACAAAAATCAATACTGGTTGTTCTAATGGTCTCTGGCGTATGTGATGTACAATGACTCCAGCGGCAAGCGATTTAAAAATAAATTGCAGAATGTGGGAGCAGCAGTGCATGCACAAATTCTGGTCCTATGAAACATTAAGGCACCAGAGGTATCAAAAATCTACTTGTTTTTTGTTTTGTTTTGTTTTTTAATTAAAAAAAAAAATCTTCTAAAGGCCGTTTCTGTGAGTGCATACAACACATCATGAAGGAGACAATGATTGACTTCATGCTTAAGCACCTGTCATCTTCTGCAACAGAGGCATCTGTAAAAGTAGAGACACATCAAGTAGATAATTATTAAATATGGCATATCATATGAAAATATGCTATATGGCAGCTGTAGAATGGAACTGCATTTTTTAGCCTGATTTGCAAAATATATAATCATAGAGATTTTTTGGGGGGGGTTTATTAATATTTTTTATTACGAAATTTGATCAGTATTGATTGATATTAAACTGCTTTTTTTATTATTTTGTACTGCTCTCTGAGGTCCACTTATAACGTTATCAACATTTTAACATCAAAATACATCATAATTTAGCAGTAATAGGCTATTTTCTGTCCTGTTTTGACCCCCCTCTCATCAGAGAGCTCTGTTTGAATAGGCGTGGAGGATTGTAGACCTGGAAGTAAACGCCCACTGCTATGATTGGCTAACAGTTGTGTATGTTTGACAGCCTACAGCCTTCACAGATGAGCGCTGCTGTGATTTAGGTTAAAAACGCATAAATACTCAGTACATATCAAGCGATCTGTAATAACAGACAAAGCAATAGTGACCAAGTAATAAAAACACTTACTCACACTTGTGTGGTGCGACATTACTGTCGTATCCAATATAGTCACACAGCATCGTCTTTTAATTTCAGTCTTTCTGAAAATCCTGCGTCAAATTATGCCTTGTTTGTAAACGAATCAGCGGTGAAATTAAAGGGTTAGTTCACCAAAAAATGAAAATTAGCTCATAAATTACTCACCCTCAAGTCATCCTAGGTGTATATGACTTTCATTTGTAAATTTTTTTTGAATTTACAAAAGGATTTGTAAAGAAGAATGTCAGGGGATTTCGATATAAGCCAAGAGGAGACTGGTTTTCCTTTGCTAAAGTAAGGAAACTTTGATTCTTTTGATCCTGTAAACAAACGTTGGTTTTCACGAGACTCACCGGCGCATGCGCAGCACTGACCTCATACGTCATGCTCCCGGAACTGCTTCCGTGTACAACTGTTGGCGCAAG